TTTTTTAGCCTTTACACAGAGTTTCTCTGCTTAATCAAATAAAACTCAACATACAAAAATATTGCTAGGACCCATTTTGAAAAAATGCAGGAGAAATGAAATGATAAGCAAGAGGAAAACATTTTCCATTAATAACAACAAAAGCACTTTCTATTTTATTTTATATAATATATGGATAATCATGACTCTTCACATCTTCATGTTTTTTGTTGTTCTAAGTAATTTTTAACCCTTTACCATTCCTCTTTGTTTTCTACTACCATCCATTCACACAAACTCGTTAAATCAGTTACTCACCATTTCTCCCTGCTTATCTTGCCTTCAATATGCCCTATGAGTGTTAAATTCTCTAGAGCTGCTTTTCTCACTGTACTAGAAATTTTAAGTTTCCTTTTGATTGTAAGTATAAGTTTCATTGTATTTTCTATTTAAGACTATCCATGGTTTTCTTAGTATCCCTTGTAGAATCATATCTCTATTTCTTCACGTTTTTTCTCTATCTGAGAGGAGAAGGTTTAGCAGTCATTGCTATATAGGAATTAGATATCACACAACAGTTTATTTTTTTTTACAGTAAGGCTTGTCCTGTACAAGGTCGGGTAGTAACCTGAGGTAGATGGTTACATTAAAGAGTAGTTTATATGGATAAGAGAGGAAGATAACAGTTGATTCCAGACATGAACAGATTAAGATTGTTGTGATCGGGGAAACATCTTCTTGGGAGTCTGTTCCACAGGACAGTGGTTCATGAGAAGAAGCTCTTTGAGTGAAACTCACTTCTTGCTGATAGAATATAGAAGGAATGTGGGTGGTTTGCTACTATGTTAATGGTATGGCATGTCCTAGCTGTGAAGGTTAGACCTGGTAAAACCAAAGAATGGAGTTCATCTGTGCACTTTCCATGGCAGTAGCAATAGAGCAGTGAGAGACTCGCCACATCCCACCTGTGAGAGAGAGCGGTTGGAGAGTGGAAAATAATTCTTCTCCAACAAGGACTCAGAGATGCATTTGAACTCTATCAAGACTGAAAGGTGAGGTCTGGTCAGTTCCTGTCCAAATATGACAAGAGCACTCCATTTTGGGCCTGATCTGGTTCTTATAAAGGTACCATTTTCTTTGTTTCTAACAACATTTTACTAACTCAGAACTATGAAACACTTATTTCTTTAAAAAATTTCCATAAGACATGCAGATAGCTCTGTGTTAATGAGAGTGAGATAAAAATACAGGAACTCCCAGACAAGGTATTAAAGGAAAGTGGGAAGAAAGGAATAACCATCAATTGTAAAATAGAATGTCTGGTTATCAGCAAGAAAAACAGCCAATGATGTGAACTGTCAACTGAAAATTGGAGACCTCAACATCAAACAAGTTCAAAAGTTTAAATATTTGGGATGTGTTTTAATAGAAGATGAAAAGTGTGTCATTGAAATCTGAAGGTGCATTGGAATAGTGAAAGACAAATTCCAAAAGCTAAGCAAAGTATTAAGAAAGTGGAAAATTTCATTAGAGACAGAGAGTGCAAAACTGTCAGGTAATAGTTAATCTCCTATATGGTAGTGAATGATGGACAATTACCTCACAGATGAAAAGGAGACTTGAGGCAATAAAAATAAAGAAAAGTGTGCAGAACTGTTATGTTGGACAATTTCCTCATAGATGAAGAGGAGACTTGAGGTAACATAGATGTGGTTCTACAGAAAAAACACAGAGAATACCAGGGATGGAGCATTTAAACAATGAAGAAATTTAAAAGAAAATGGAAACAGACTCAGAAAGAGACAGTTGAAATTTATGGGACATACAATGAAGAAAGAAGGCTTGCTCACCAATAGGGCATATCAAGGGCAAGAGGAGGAACAGAGGGGAAACAGCAAGTAACCTATCTAACAAGTTTGTATAAATGGATGTAAGTACAATGAGTGGGGTTTTGATTCATTTGTTTTCTATGCCTTATCAACTCTTTGCAGGTTATTTAAAGCCAGAAAATATTTTTCTTTTTTTTTGAGATAATAATGATTTTTACTGATACAAGTTTTACTAATTAACCCATACCTGGGAGAAGAAGAGGTGGATTCATACCTTTCCCAAGGGTATTTAAGTGTAAGTGTATATAAGGAACCTGGCTGGAATTGGAACTCAGCACTCTGATTTTCATTCCTGAGCTGTTATCCATTGATTTGTTGATTCATTTTGTATGGCTTACTTTAAACTTTGCAGGTTATTTATTGCCAGAAAAATTTTTTAGATTGTAAGAATTTTTTTTAGATATTAATGATTTAGTGAGACAAGTGTTACTAATTAACACATAGCTGGGGGGAGAAGAGGTGGATTCATACCTTTCTCAAGGGTATTTGCACATAAGTGAATATAAGGAACCCAACTAGAACTGGAGCAATTTAATTTTACTAATTAACCCATAGCTGGGGGAAAGAGGTGGATTCATACCTTTCCTAAGGGTATTTGTGTGTAAGCAAATATATCAAACCTGACTGGAATTGAAACTCAGCTCTCTGATTTCCATTCCTGGGCTGTTATCTATTGATTTGTTGACTTGTTTTGTATGGTTTACCAACCCTTTGCAGGTTATTTAAAGCCAGAAAATATTTTTAGATTTAAGAATTTTTTCGAGATAATAATGATTTTTACTGATACAAGTTCTACTAATTAACCATACCTGTGAGAAGAAGAGGTGGATTTATACCTTTCCCAAGGGTATTTAAGTGTAAGTGTATTTAATGAACCCAGCTCTCTGATTAACAATTCTGAGTTGTTACCCACCAACTGCACATCATATCTTACACCATCTGGTATTCCCAAGTAGTCACCTAACTAGGTACTGACCAGGTTTGACATTGCTTAAATTAGGTGATTTTATGGGAACAAGTATTTCAATGTGATGTGGCCATAAACCAGGGAGTGGGATGGATAATTGTTTTGTAGAAAGACAATCACCCTTCTCTACACTAATTGTTGAACATGGACTTATTCATCTGCTATGAGAAGAACATCTGCTCATAGGAACAAGCATTGCAAAGAGGGTAGCAGTGCATAGCATCGAGTCATATGCATTGCCACACTGAACTACAAAATTCTCTAGTATTGTATTATTAATCCATGTGTCTCATGTGATTAAACATGTTCTTCACTCAACCTTTTTTTTAAAGTGTTTCCTTACAGTATTATTAACCAAAACTATGAACTTTATAGGAATCGATAGTAAAAAGACAAAAGTAGGTGAAAAGGGAGAGATGTAAAAAGTAAATCTTATATACAGGGTGCGATGGATAAATTGTTGACTAAATAAAGCAAAAATGAAAATAACATTTTAACAGATATATTTACCAAAATTACACAAAAATATCTTGAAATACTAAAGAGTAAATTTATTCAATAAAATCGCCATTGGCTTCAGCTATGGCCTCCAGACGACTTCAGAATCTCCTGCATCTCTTCTGAACGGCCTCCTTTGGTGAATGCTGCCATAATCCTTGCCTTCGGTTCATTTTTGGTGCTACAAGGAGTTTTGTTGGGCTCTCGCTCAACTGTACCTCACACATAATAATCAAGGGGGTTGCAAGTCTGAGCAGTTAGGCGGATAGATGTAAGGGGTGATGTGATCACAGAAATTGTCTGACATCCATAATTAGGTTCTCCTGCTTGTGTGGCATGGTGCAGAGTCCTGTTGCCAGACATAGGGGCTTCCAGCAACCACCCTCTTGACCCCAGGCAACATTACATCCCCAAGGCACTTGATGTAGGACTCTGTATTGAGTCTGAATCCCTCACCAACAAATTTGGGAGTTCTTTTCTTATCAGAATGATCAGAGTGAGTTTTCCAAGCTGCTGTACCTTCGTAATCACCATTAGATTCATACAACTCTTTCCAAATCCTCTGCATTGTTCTCAGATTGACACTGAAATGTTCATATTAGAGCATAGTACAGCATGCCATTTCCAAATTTCTGCTGGAGTGAATTGTGTCGTAGTGCTCTTTTTCTCAATGACGGTGCCCAACTGACCCTACTATACTGTGCAGTCAACAAAATCAAAAACAATGAGCATACACAATATTAAAAATATAAAATGGTGACAATTTACCTGTTGTACCCTGTATATTTTTCAACCAATAAAATCCCATCAGAAGATTTGTTGGATAAACAGTCATTATTAGGACAAAAACTGCCAAAATACTTTGCAGGTGTAGTTTTAGACCTACCATGTGTTATTTTTGGATCATTTAGAAAATAACAATAATAACTCCTTTCACCACTCCTGTAAACTTGAGAAAAAGATTTTTGTGAGCCAGTGTGAAATTATTTTCTAACTAATGAATACCTTGTGTTCAAAAAGTTCACACTCAGACTCCCCTTACAGATATAAAAATAGAAGCCTACCACTTCTCAAGGTTCAGAACAATTTCAGAAGCCAGTTTGATCTACACATGTGTACACACACACCTATGCACACAATGATGAGATGTCCACAGCTGCTGATTGTCATAATGTAAGTCTGTCCACACATTTTACACTGCAGTAAGAATGCTTAATTACTTTATAAAACAAACTTCACTGCAAGGAAAATTGAACATTTTATTGCTATTGTATATTTCTGTTATAAGTGTTATTTTAACTAATGTTCTGCTTCTATTTTTCCTCCAGAAAATAACCCTTTTTATATTTCATTTAAGAGATGTGTTGTTGTTGGTAAATGTTTGGAATCCTGACGCTCAGATAAAAGCAAATGCCTGGGTGGATGGATCCTAACAGAGCCATGACTGCCCACATCCTGAAAGGATACGGGTGCATAGAAAGAGATGAGGAATAACCTTTCACATTCAGATCTAATATTCACTGGTTACGAGGAAAAAATTAAGTTAGTTTGTGTACATATAAACATTGTTCCAAAGTTAATGTTGCATTGGTCTTTTGTCAGCAGACACTGCTGAAAATGTCTGCGAGTATATTCTTAATTTTAACTTTGAGTAAGATTTTACTTACCTGGGTTTCCAGATATCTTTTTTTGGAGTCCATCACTTCCATCACCTTTAGAATTGTTATAGTTGTGCGTATACATTACTTCATATCGTGGATTCAGCTGTGATGATTTGTTTACTGTTGTTGTTCTAATGGAAGTCCTGATTGCTATTCTTGTAACATTGGTTAAAGGATCTTTTACAATCCCTGAACTATACACAAAAGTCTTTTGCTGTTTTACATTAAACAAACTTATGTTCCCTAGAATAACAGAGACATTCAAGAACTCAATTTTGCTACCAGACCAGGTAAAATTATATCGAACACTGAGAACTACATTATCACACTGGGAGCCATTATGGAGTGTTGGTGTACTTGGTCTGGTATAACCATCATCCCAAGGACACAGAGGTGGCAGATCTTCATCCATTGCAGACAAGGATTCTTCCACATTGTTAGGGCAATGGTAAAGGCCACTACTATCTATTATACAAACATCAGGAATGGTAAAGTTCTGAGAAGATTCTAAACTCTGAGAAAGAACATCAGAAAGTGTGTCTAAAGACTTCAGATATGTTTTAGAGTTACTGGTGCAGTGATAAAACACTTCTGTTTTGACAAATTGTTGTTCTAGCCCATTAAGGATCGTGTATGCATGGGGACAGTGGGGGTTTCTTAGCGCCGTAGATAAAGCAAAACTAGTAGCACTCAGGATGGAATTGTCGGAACAAAGATCAGGAGTCATTTGGTATATGCAATCTGAATTGAAGTTGATCAGAAAAGGGACAGGTGCAGTTGTTGCACACTGGCCACTGAAAGTACGCTGAGGTAGTGTCAGGAGCCTGGGTACAGGATAGATAATATTTGGAATGGAGCTTTGAATTTGACTACCATATTTGTAGTTGAAATTTTCAGTTCTTCCAGAATTTGAGGAATCAGCTTGACTGCAAATCAAAACAAAGATAGTATAAGGTAAAATGGCAATTTTTTGGCAAAGTTAAAGAGAAATTTTATTTGGACAATTGAACCTCTTTTTGATTTCTTTATTTTGTTGCTACAAACCATTTTGGTGAATCCAAACTTTGGCTTTCTACAGATGATGATGAGCCACTGTGAAGCTGAACACCTGACTAGTTCCCCCCCCCCATATACCAAGATTGAATGCAGGAGATACTAATTCATGTGTCCTGGCAGAGCCTACCCCTCCTTAGGTCAAACCCTGGTTGTTGATATCAATCTACCCCCCCCTCTACACCCAGTAATTCTATTTCATCACTGCACTATCCGCTATACACATCTATAGAGCCCAGTCTACCCTAATGTGCTAGGTACCCATTAACTTTACAAGGATTATCTGCCCTTTGACAGGTCTTGTTTTAATTCTGCTGGGTGCCTAGCAACATTCCTCACCAGCAACACCTAGTGGGGGAACTGGTTTAATGGTCAATGACTAAACCATGTGGCAGGTAGCAATGGGTTACATGGTGCCAGCAACATTCACAAAGTGACCTGACATAATCAGGTAAATAATTTTTAAACAGAGAAGAAAAAAATAACCTCTTCAACAAAAAAATGGTCATAAATATAACAACCAGATAAGATGTAAAGGTCAGAATATGTGTGTGTGTGTGCATATATATATATATATATATATGAGAGTAAAAACAAGAACAACATCTATTCCATACCTGAAGATGTCTGTAGGAATAGATGAAAGCTTGTAGTAAAAATAAGAACTAATGCAACAGAAATTTATAAAAACAAGGATCTTTTCATTCATAACAGGTTTGGGGTTTTTGTATATTATTTGAATTGTTCGTGACGATGGATTTCTCGCCAATTAAATCATTAACCTTTGTATTTGTTTTTGTATGAATAATTCATGAATATATATATATATATATATATATGTATATGTAAATTTTTAGATAGAGTGTATCTGTAAAGGAACAGAATGAATAAAAAGAAAAGAAGAAAAACTATTCTTAGCCAATGCATTTTGCCCCCTAAGGGACATTATCAAGGCAAATGTAGGATTTATTTTGTTACATGTGTTTATATACAACAGCAAGGATGTCATTGGTTTATCAAGGCTTTCAAATCTATATTAATAAAAAAAATGTATATTTATTAATATATAATTTATAGCTCCATTATATTACATTGAGCACTATATAAACACATTGGCTAAGAATATATATATAAGTATTTCACCCAGGGGTGCCACTAATATGCCAGGGCTACAGAGAGTGTAAGTAAGGGAAAAGACTGGGTATTGCAGGGGAGGAAAGGATAAAAAGAAGAATGGTGATCAACCATCAGAAGGCATCGATTGACATTACATTTAAATTTTTGAAGATTATAGTTACCAGAGATGCAAGTAAGAGGCAGGGAGTTCTACTGTTCTACTAATGTGAGAGAAGCTGCTGGAGTAGAAGAGGTGGTCACATTTAACTGTTTCGACAGTAAAAGGGTGGGACTGGTGGGCAACCCTGAGGCCAAATTATGTTGTAGCCTGTGCCATTTCCTTTCTGTTCATGCCACATTTGACTCTCTTTGGAATCTCCAGATTGGGAGGAGAGGGTAAAGGGAGATGCTTGAACAGTCACTACACCTGCTCATAGGGATTGTTATAGATGGATAGAGGAGAAGCATATGAGTCAGAGGGGCTACGGATAGGGAATATATCTGTGTGTGTATGTATTGTGTATTTTTTCATTGAAAATGACTTATAAGGTGCTGTGGTTAAGCTTTTTATATAATTTCTCACATGTTCCTACATTTTTTTTTTCAGGACATTATATAAAAAAATCCTTAAAACTACAAAACCAAACCAAGTCATTCTATCGTCGCTTGACATAGAAAATTTATTTACAAATGTCCCTGTCGATGAATGCATTGATATAATCCTTAACTCAATATATAAAGATAATTCAGTTCTACCTACATCCATTAAACCCAATATTTTCAAAAAATTATTGCATACCTGCACAAGTAAGTCCCCTTCAACAACCATAACGGCAAAATTTACACTCAAACTAATGGAGTAAGTATGGGAAATCCTCTTGGTCTGTGCTTCTCTATTGCATTTCCCAGGTAGAAAACAACGTATTTAAAAAAGTTAATAAACTGAAAATATATGTCTGCTATGTAGATGATATTTTTATTTCAGCTGAGAACAAAAACGAAATTGATAATCTCAAAACTGCATTTGAAAAAAATTCCATACTCAACTTTACCTATGAACTATGAAAAATAAACTCTCATTCTATGATGTTCGTTTGGAGTCTAATACATTTATTAGTTATATAAAAAACCCACAAGTAAAAACTCTTGCTATCATAATTTTACTAGACAATGTCTTTTCAGATATAAAATAGGTTATTAAAAATTTCCTTATGAGAGTGCTCGAGAATTCATCCTCTTGTCCACTCTTCTTTAAAGAACTAAATATGAAACAAACACTTGTTAATAATGGTTTTCAAAACCATCTTATAGATTACCATATTAGACATTTTCTTTCTAATGTAAACAATAGCAACACTGAAGACACAGAAACAAAACAACATTAACATTTTCTACAAAAATCAAATGCGTAGTAACTATAAGAAAGATGAATCTTCACTTAGAGACATTATAAAGAAATACACAGCTCCAGTTGATAAATACAAACATTTAATGCCATTTTGCATTTCTATCAATTTCTGGTCAGCTCCCTTATATTGAGACGCTTGTTTTACCAAAAAATATATATATTCCATAGCTACAATGGATAAATTTAAAATTCTAAAATAATTATAATAGAGCGCGTTCATGCATATTTTTTAAAGATAACAGTCACAACAATTACGGTTACAATAAGTTTGTCTTTGTAATTTACCTCTCATGATGATCTTGGAAAGTACTTGGGTAGGAAAAAACTATTGCATCTTCCTTGATGAATTTCATCTTAACATCAAGAATCTGATTAGACAACTGGAAAGGATTAGTATAAAAGTAATAGACATATGTTTATATTATTCAATGAAACAGGTTTGAATAAAGATATGCTGCATATATATATATATATATATATATATATATATATATATATATATATATTATATAAATATTAACAAATAGTGGATGTCTATTATGTTTGATCATGAGCCATTCTAAGCTTTGTATAGTGGATTTAGTACTGGGAGAAAATAAAGACAAACATTTGGATATTTTTTTTTATTATGCTAGTCCTTGATCTAAGCTTTTGGCTTACATGAGCCAATATTATTCAATGAAACATGCTTGAATAAAGACATGCTGCATATAAATGTGTGTGTGTGTGTGTGTGATATTTCAGAGCAATATGGATTTCTTATAAGAATGAATGTACAGTTAGTATAATAGCTATCAGAATAGAGAAAAGAATTGATGAACCGAGTGCAAACTTTGGCTGAGTCAGTTGCATTCCCCCGAATGGTATTGGAAAGAACCTGAATTCATCTCTTCTACTGCCTCTAGCTATGGATTAAATAATAGAACAGACTGGGATATCTATCACTGAGTAGCAACTAGTTTAGAAAGAAGACACTGAATTTAAACTGAATAGGCATAAGTGTGCCACAAAGTGGAGGGAGAGCATTCCTTGAATTGAAGCTTAATTTGGCCATTCACCATAACTGATCCTCCCCAGTAGTTCTGGAGCTCCACCTTGTTACAAGTTGGCATAGATTTTATTGCTTAATTGAGATACCGTATATAATTGTTTAATAAAGGAACAGAAAACATGTTACCATTACATATGTTACAAATTATGCATATGTTGCTAAAAATAGAATAAATTAATTTCTATCTAAATTTATGGGATGAAGAGTTATTATTTATGCTATTTACTTTCAGATTTTTGCTCTCATCTTTGTTGTTGCTATTACAAAGTTTCAGTCATTGTACCTTTTAGCTTCCATCAATCCCTGTACGTTGATATACAACTGATGAAGGCCGGAGGGTACAATGGCTGAAACATTGTGATAACAACAACAACGATGAGGGCAATAGTCTGAATGTAAATAGAATAATTTATTTTAGAAGTGTTGTGGTTGATGTTTAAATTTTGTTTGATACCAAAGTTTTCATACAGGAATTACCCCTGAAGAAGGCCATGAAATGGATCAGTCAAAATGTTCTGGGAACAACAAAAAATGAGTTCAATTAGCCAAAAATATCTTTGAATGACTTTTCTCAAAATTATATGTAATTCATACAACCCTGCAACGAAAAACATTTTTTAAAAAAAAAATTAGGAATTTGTTATACATACTGCAAAGGGAAATAATATAAAAGGAAATTGAAAATTTTATCTCTATTTTAAAGAAACAATGCTTGCACAGAAGCTTAGTGGCATGGAGAGAGTACTCAATGCCTGGCGTGGGGTGGACAGAGATACCTTTGTGTTGTAGAGTAGTTTTCACAGTGGAGGCTTGTCTTTCAATAAGTCATCCTAAATTAGGTTAAACGTTAGGAACTTGAAATAAGAGTTAATGACGCAGCAATCTAGTTGTGATGGTTGATACTTCAATGTCTGACATCGACTGACTCACTCAACACCACTGAGCCCAACTGGCCACTGCTATTACTACTTATTATCTGTGGGAGAGTCTATTACAATAGAATAGGTAATGTTTTGGTATAACACTTTGGTGCTCACAACTTTTGAAATATTTTACGGGTTTTGTAAGTCATTACCTATTCAATGAAAATAATCTAAAAAACAAAAAAACACAGACAGAGTGCATACCTCTGACAATCCTACTAAAAATACTGCAGAGGAGGTAACTATTGAAACTTATATAACAACTGCAAATTTTTATCATTTATTTTACTACCTATAGAAATTCATCAAAAACATTTGAGATATTTCATTGCAGGTTGATCAACCCCCCAAATTAAATCAGTTCTTCAGCCATTT